GATATATATAGATATATATATATGTCGGCATCGTTTGATGACTGGCAAAACAAAAATCACGGGGTACTGGAGCTCTGTATAATCTTGTAAAACCTATAATCAGATTTTTTTTTTTGTGGTATGATGTATTAAAATTTGGGGTTAGATCCATTGACTGTACTTAATTCCCTATATAAATAAAACTTTTTGTTTTGTTTTTCTGTTTTTATTAGATGGTACTGAATTTTGTTCCACTGTAACAGATGCTGTTTAGAAAGCTTGCAGTCTTTGTGTGGAATACAGCACAACTCAGAGGTGTTTAGTTGTGATGCGGGAGCTTGTATGTGAATGGATGGGAACAAAAATGACAAGATTTATCTCAATTGACTCACTAAAACGGAGGAAAGGGCTCAATAGGGTAAGTGTGCAGCTGCTAGGATCCCATTTAGTGTAGTTGAAAAGAAAAGAGCAACATTGTTCATATGACTGCCTCATATGATGTACAAACTAAATATTTTAACATCATCTGCTATGTATTATAGTAAATAAATGATTTTGACAAATGATGTTTGCCTGATGTTATTTTTGGGGTGAGTGAGCCGTCACACTTATGAAGAAACAACCAATTGTGGGATGTATTTAAAATGTCCTCTAATCAGGGTTGCCAGATCTGCGCTTAATGGGCAGTCGAAGCTAGCCAAAAGTTTGATTTCAAATAAAACTAAACTTAAAATATGCCACCATCCTACCTATTTATGTTTTAAAATACATATTTTAGTTACTATTTTGCATTACAGTTTTAACTTAAAAATCACCGTAGTAATCCTAAAAGGTCTGTTTTTACAAATAGGATTATCTTACCCCAAGACAGTCAGCTAATGTACACAGTCTTTGGTGGGGATGCTAATCCTTTATTTTTGACTGTTCTTGGTCCTTTTCATACATTTCTGCAAACACCCTCCTCATCAGTTTATGTGAAGATTAAATATTGAGTAGATTAAATATTTAAATACAAGCTTTCCAATCAAATAAAATTTCTGCATTATGTCAAACATTTAACCCGCGGAGAAAAAAAGTCTATCCCTGGCAAGTTTAAAGTGTCCGTTCTTGGCAACCCTGTCTGCAACGCTGCCACTGCAGACCCGTGAATGACTTGCGCCACCTTCAGGATCAAGATATAAACTACACAACTCGATGTGTGTGCGGTACTTCGTTTTGTTTGATTTGACATTATTAGGCACAATTCCTACGTGTTTGTTTTGTAGCGAATATGCTAACATAACTAGCCTCAAGGACACAAATCTGAGCTTATATATGATCGAAAATTCAACATTTCTGGAAGGAAGTCATTGTTCCACCTGAGGCTGAACGCTTTTGCCATCATAGGTGAGAATTTAAAACGGCCACATTCAGTGAAAGGGGTTCTTGCTATCAAACCTAATACATTTGATAGCTCAGCTCAATTTGTCTTGTGTGAAGACAAGTATCAAATCATATAGTTATTCTTGGCTGCATGTGGAGGCCTTGTGAAATCTGAGGCCAGCAAAACCCACGTTAAAATTTGGCTTCAAGTGCCTGTTAAGATTTTGCAGACTGCAAGATAAATGGGCCTAATAATTTAACAGATAAGGATAATGTCTAAGGGAGAAAATATGCCTTTTTAGCCTAATATTATATAGTTGTTAAACCAAAAATCTGTCAGAATTTATTCTCCTATGTCTTTTGATACCTGCATGCGTGAATGTTCAAGCTGCTCTTTTCCGTACAATGAAAGTGAATGGTGTCCACAACTTAAATTGCTTACATTAGGCTTATCATATGGCTTCAGGTTTGGAATATAGTGCATAGGTCATATGGACCACTTTAATTATGTTTTTGCCTTTATGAAGCTTGACAGGACCTCATCCCCATCCACATTCATTGTATGGAAAAGAAAAGCATGAACGATCTCCAACTATCTTCTATTGTATTTTACATAAGAAAAAAGTTCCTGAAAGGACATGAGGATGAGCAAATGATGGCAGAATTGGGAAATTAGCCACCAAAAGATACTAATAATACAATATGTGTTTGCTGAAACACTATTACTTTATAATTGGGAATTTGCTTCATATTTGTAAACACGTTGACAGATTTATGACAGAAGTAGATGGAACGGTTAATGCTTGCAGTAGTGCATCAGCCTGCCAAACTACATTTGTAAAACACGAGAGACTTCAGTCCAATTCTGATGGGAACAATGTTAATCACTCACAGCTGTTCGATCACAGGGAAACAGTCACGTCTGACCTGCAGCTGACTAAACTGACAATAAAAATGACAATCACATCATTGCAATTTCCCCATTAAAATGGCACACTGCCAAATTTAATTTATTTCATAATCAGATTTGAAAGCATCTGTAAGGATAGAGTAAAAGGCAATATGGCAGCAAGGATTGACACTGAATTAGTTGAGTTGTCTTTAGATGTTCAGAGGAGGATGCTGCGAATTTACTCTGATCAATCATGAATAATAAGTATTTGTTGGACCCCCCCCCCCCCCCCCCCCAATATCCCTTTGTTTTCATTAATTT